CATCAACTTTCCTGCTCCTCTGATGCTGCCTGGCCCGCTGTGCTCCTCCAGCTCCATACTGTGTTATACCACCTACCTATCTACAGTTTGAAATACATCTATTCACAACTAAATCTTTGCCTGGTATGACTCAGCCAATTTCAAACCTAAGAGACCATCATCTATTTAATGCCATCTGCTTCTATTTTCTGAGTAAGTCTTTTGTAGGGTACTTAATCAAATTCCTTTTGAAATTTCATATACATAACAGTGACTGCAGCCACCCACTTTGTTACACACTTAATGTACTTAAAGTCTTTGACAAAGCTTGTCTTTGACAAATCTATGTTAACTATTCTGAAATAACTCCACAGAAGCCGGTATCCTGTCACCCTTTATTTACATTGACATTGATCCAGCTTTCTCAAAGCTAGGTCTCAGAGATAGTGGAACCTCTGACACTCCTGTTCATATCTGTGATTAACAGTCGCAGTCAGGTAACTCATATTCTCTGATGTCCACCTGACAGCCCTTGTTACAATCAAGACGTATCCCTGATTAAGCCATGCCTCTTCAAGTGAAAATTGTCTTGAAAATGTCTCTGGTAGCCCCCCTACCACCACCCACCCCACACCCACCCCTCCCCAACGCCCCTGACATTAGACTGAATAGTCTGCATTTACTGCATGTACTGTGTGCCCATTTTGAACAGAAGTATAACATTTAAAGTCCTCTAGCAGTATCCTTACATTCAAGGAGGATTGAAGGATTATGGTCAGAGGATCTGTTGTTTCCACATTTCAGCAGCTTTCTTTCAGCTGTTCTTTCAGCAGCTAGCAGGTATTCCATTTGGATTGTATGATTTGATAACTTTGATTGCTGTCTGCCTTCTCCTTTCTGTCTTTCTACTTTCATCCGAATACAACATTACATTTTGATTGAGCTCAAAGCACAGTACAGAACACAAAATACATTATAGAGCTAAGTACAAGACAAATCAGATCAGTTTTACTTACAGGCTTGGAGGAGGGATCAGTCACATTAATATCATGACCGGTAAGAGTCCAATAAAATGAGGCAATGTCCAGACTGCTGTTTGCTATAGTGATTAGGTTTAACCAGGAGTTATACGTCAATTGATACTTTGTAGCATTTTCACCATAAACTACACCATCTGGCACGCTCTCTACAACCACAAATCTGAAAAAGCAATGCAATTTTCCATTAGATTTCTGTATTATGGAGTGTTTTGATCCATTAAGTACATTTACCTAGATCTCCTATGACCCAACATTTGACCACAGAGGCAAATAACCATTAACAATCCCTGGGAGCAACTCCAGCTCCAACCCACCCCTGACAGGACAATTAACTTGCAGAATAGGAACAGTTTTAGGCCTCTGAGACCTGCAGCTGAGTGTTAGTTCTTCAAGAATGAGGCCTTCATGGTGGTTGTGTGCTGTTGATGGAGAACAGCCAGAAAGCCCCACCTGACTGGTGTAGACTCAATGGGCTAAAGGGCCTTTTTCTGTGCGCCGGATCTCTATGAATTCCAACGTACTGAAGGAAAGCAAAGCTTGAAATCAGAAACTAGCACCTGTCCTTCTTTAGTGTCTGGCCTAAGGAACTCTGGGGACAGCGCACACTGTCAAAGGCTACCCCTACACATATGAATACATGAAAATAATGGACAGATAAAGACAACTGCCATAAAATTGAGCACCAGCTGATTCTTTTGATTTTCTTTTATTATTCATTAGTGGACAACTGTGTTTGTTGAGGAATATTCACCCATGGAATGTATGTAAAGCAACAGACACATAGCAGACATCAAATTCTAGTTCAGCTGTCATTGCATCTGTCTATCTATGTGATCTTGCTATTCACAATAATTTGTCTTTTATAGCTTGCATCTTCGAACTCAACATACAAGTAAGCAAGATGTCCCCATATTCAGTCTCTCACTTCAAAACAAAGGACTAGAGAATATGGCAAACCACAAAAAAAGAGTGCAATGGGTTGGAGAAGGACAGAAATAAAAAAGGTTGAATTAAACCTGAACAAAAAGGTGACAGATTGAATGTAATTTAGAAAAATGCCAAATGGCAAATTTTGGGGAAAGATTTTCAAGTGAAGATATGAAAGTTTTAACTTGGAGGACAGGATTGAAAAGGCCATACAGTATAGTTAATTCTAAGTTTCGTTTATAGGGGCATGAAATATAAAAGTAAGGAATTGATTTTGATTGTATACTTTATACAGAAACATAGAAAGGAAAATATGATATTTCAAAATCTTTGAAAGCTTTTGAGAGGATGAACTTCTTTTTCTATTAGTTAACAAATCAGTAATGGGCCATACGTTTTTACAATTGCTGAAAGAATAGAGAAGAATCTTAAAAGAGCATTGTTTTGCACAGGGTTATTGAAACATTAAACACAAGTGGTTACAGAGGCAAAGATTATAGGACTAATTTTCTTGACCTTTGACACCCCTTCAGTGAATATTGATTCTCCATGGACAAAGGGCAGAAAAATTGGAGCATAGCCCTGTTCTGAAAAGCTACCATTTCCTTTAAGTTCCATTTGCATTTCTGAAGAGAAGGAGGTATGGAATGGAGTCTGAGTAGCTCAACATTACTGTGGAATTCTGTACTCTCCTGGCTCAAAATGCAACAGTTCAGATCTACATTTGCACCCAATGTACCTTCCCATTTTCCTTGGACAGGTCCACATTAATGGGCAGAGACTCCAAAATCATCCAAAGCTCTGCAGGCTTTAGGTGTACTGATCTTGTCTAGTACTAGAACAGAAAGACACCAGGAAAACTGATCCTTTGAGATAAATAGATAGACACATAATTAAGATGGAGATGAAGAGAATTTATCCTCACAGAGAGTCATTTGTGGCCAGAATTCTCATCCACAGAGAACAGTGGAGTCTGTGACATGGAGTATATTTAGGAGTGAGTTAGATTTTTGATTGAAAAGAGTAATAGAGGGGGCAGACAGAACATGGATGAATTAAGGCCACAATCAGAATCAGCCATGATTTTATTGAGTGGCGGAGGTGGCTCAAGGGGTCAAATGGATTAGTCCTGCTCCTAATTTGTATGTTCTTACGCAATTGCACAAGAAACATGAGAGATCAGGAACTGATGTAGATATTAGAGTAGCTAGAACTGGTTAAAGAGCCTGCACAGGAGAAGGTGGAATGGCTAAATATCGTTTTTGTTCTGCAATCTTTATGATGACAGAAAAAGCTGACTTTTCTTTAGAAAGAAAAAGAGAAATTACTGGAGAAACTCAACAGGTCTGGCAGCATCTGTGCAGAGAAAGCAGAGTTAATATTAACTCAGTTCTGGAGAAGGGTCACCAAAATCGAAATGTTAACTCTGTTTTCCCTGCACAGATGCTAACAGGCCTGCTGAGTTTACCCAGCAATTTCTGTTTTTGTTCCAGAGTTTCAGCTTCTGCAGTTCCTTGTTTTAATTACATTTTCTACAGGTTTTGTTTTGATTTCATAGTTAACTTTCAGTTGGATACTCTTACCTACAGGGATCATCACAGGTTGTACTTTGCAGCTGTTTCCAAGCTTTCTCTTTGTCTGGTAAATCATCGATTAGTTTGCGAACTGATTGAATAAGTGCAAAGGTTGCCAGGCAAACAGTCATAAGTAATACAAAGACAACTGGTCCTTTCCACTGAGAAAGCAATCACAATACACAGATACCTTTTAAAAGCAGAAGCAAGTGAATAAAGAGAACTGCAATCAACCATCTGAAGTTTATTTTTTCTGTGTTTTTTCCCATTCTCTTACCTTGTTCTACAGTCATGTTGGTCAAACATTATTGCACGCCACTCAAGTATTAATGAGACCAAACATTTATTAATTTGTTTTGAATGCAGGGTGGAATAAAGACAAGAGCAAAGCAGGGTGGTACTCTACATTGTCTAAGCCTTTCCTTCATCTGCGCAGATCTCTGAGATCTGTCTGTGCCAGTGACATCTGAAACTGGAGGTCCATGCAACTGAGAGGGAATGTTAGTTGCATTGAAAGTTTGAAAAGAATATATACCCAAGTTTCATGTTGAAAATCCCGACCAAAATGAGCAGAGGAAAGGTTCAGTTAAAGAGAAATATAGAAATTGAAAGAGAACTGTGGAGGCAACAGAGCAGTAGAGAGATTTGGATGTTCATGCGCAGTGGAGCAGTAAAGGAGAGAGGTCTTAATGGTAATAATGCATCAACAATACAAATAATATTAATAGAAAATATTTAAAGACTCTGTGTCTGAATGCTCAAAGCATTCACAACAAGGTAGGTTAACTTGCAACTTAAAGAGAGATAAATGGTTTGGATCTAATGTCCTTTTGAGACATGGTGCACAATTAATTCGGGGGTGAGGGGGATGTGGGTAGGGGCTAGTCTACTAAACCCTTCTAACTGTTACTCCAGAAGTCCCATTAAACTCAATATTGGCTGCTGTCAGAACTGTAGCCAGTCTCAAATAATGCCTTTTAGATCCCCAAACCCCTGGTAAGTAAGGAGCTTATTAAATACTGCTCCCGCCTGCCATTTATATTTTGGGGCTGAGCTTGGGGATGGGTAGGAAGGTATCTTACATGTCCCAACCTCCTCTAAAGTCAAGCCCATAGTGATAAATTGTCTAAGGTTAGAAAATAAATGCTCCATTATATTATACATTATATTTAGAAATGATAGACAGAATGGAAAAGGAAGAGGAGTAGCCCTGATAGTAAAGGATGCAATAGGAAAAGAAATGAGAAAGGGTCTTGGCTCAGAGGATCAGGAAGTAGAAGCAGTGTGGGCTAGATTTTATTGCTCCCCCAGAAGCAGACTTACAGGCCGGGGATCCTCAAAAATTCCATGGCACCAGATCTGTCCACAGCCCCACCACAATTTTACCAGTGACAGGGAAGGTACAGGCAGTTGCCAAATTATGGGCCTCAAAAGGCCATTATCTCACTGCTGCTAAGATTTAACCAGTCACATGGTTTTGGGCTTAGAGTTATGCCTACAGTTAGGATTAAAAATAAGGTATCAATCTGATGAAGCTACACAACAAACGAGCTGTGTGACAAACAGCATAAGCAGCAAGTGATAGATAGAGTTAAGCAAATCCACAATAAATGAATCAGATCGAAGCTCTGCAGTCCCACCACATCCAGTCATGAATGCTGGTGAACAATTAGATGATAACAAGACCAGGTAGATCCTCAAATATCCCCATTCACAATGATGGGGGAGACCTGCACATCAGTGCAAAAGATAAGGCTGAAGCAACAGTCTTCAGATAGAAGTGCCAAGTGGATGAACCATCTAGCCTCCCACTGGGGTCTCTGGCATCACAGAAGCCAGTCTTTAGCCAATTTGATTCACTCCACAAGATATCAAGAAGCAGTTGAAGCCCTTAGATACTGCAAAAATAATGGGAGATCTGACAATTTCAACAATTGTACTCAATACTAATGCTTCACAACTTGCTGTATCCCCTGGCAAGCCATCCCAATACAGCTACAATACTGACATCTACCCAATAAGGTGGATAATTGCCCAAATGTGCCCTGTACACAGGAACAAAGGACAAATCCAACAGTCAACTACCATCCCATCAGTGTACTCTTGATCATCAATAAAGTGTTAGAAAATGTCATTCTCAAATACTGACAAACAACACTCAACAATGATCTGGTCACTGACACTCAGGATGGGTTACACCAGGCACCCTTAGCTCCTGATCTCAGTACAGGCTTGCTCAAATATGGACAACTGAGCTAAAGTACAAGGGGGAAATGAGCGTAACTACCCTTGACATCATTTCCACATTTTACCAAATGAGACATCAAAGAGCTCTAACAAAACTGGAGTCATTGGAATTGGGAAAAGTCTTTATTGTTGGAGCTATACCAGCCACATAGGAAGATGGTTGTGGTTGTTGGATGCCAGGCATCTCACCTTCAGACCATCTCTGCAGGAGTTCACCAGAGTAGTATCCTACACCTAAACATCTTCAGCTACTTCATCAATTACCTTCCGTCCATCATAAGGTCAGACTTTAGCATTTTCTTTGATAATTGTCCAATGCTCACCACCAGTCCTCCTTTTCCAAAAGCAGCAAGACTGTGTAATATTCAGGTTTGGGATGATAAATGGGAAGTAACATTCGTGCCTCATTAGTGTTAGGTAATAGTCATCTCCATGACCAGAATCCAATCATCATGCCTCAACATACAAAGGTAGTGTCATCACAGAAATACCCACTATTGACATTCTAGGTGTTGCCATTGACCAGAAAATGAACTGGACTAGTCACATGAATGCTATGTCCTTAAGAGCAAGTTAGAGTTCAGGCACTTTGCTGAGAGTAACTCATCTTCAGACTCCTCAAAACCTGCCCACTATGTGCAAGGCACAAATCAGGAGTGTGGTGGAATACTCACAATTTGCCTGGATGAGTGCAGCTCCAACAACACTCAAGAAGCCCAAAATCATCCTGGACAAAGCAGCCTGCTTGATCAGCACTCCAACTAATACCTTCAATATTTACTCTCTGCACCACTGTTGCACAGTGGTAGCAATGTGTACCATACATCGGTCAAGAGGACCTGTCAGAGGGAAATATCAAGAGGACTGCTCAGAAGTGTAAAATGATCTGTCAAAAGTGGCAAGAGGACATGAAAAAAGCTCCGAGAAAGGGACTGTTAAACTGTCAAGGCATTTCAAACTCGTGACCTTTTGAATCTTTGAAAAAAATGTCTGGTGCCTTTAAAATAATGAATGTTTTTTTTTATTTCAATCTATCTGTCTATTTGGGTTTTTGACCCTGAGGCCTTCCTTTACTGGATTACTCCTGCATGACCTGTTTTCACAATCATCCATCATCACAATGAGATGCCTTCCATTTAGGTTTTATGAACAGCTCTAATCAGTTATAGACTCACTGAAGTGCAAGAAGAAAGAAATTACAATGTTAGCTTTCTTGTTTTGATAAGGGATTGTGCACTTGAATGAAATATCTGTCATTGTAAGGCTTTATTTTGTTGAAAGAATATAAACGTTTTATGAATGAGACTTTTTTTTTGATACTGCAATGTCAAAATCGGACATATACTTTATTTTATAGACCTTTAACTTATCTCTGCATGGATCCTGGGCCCTGTCATGGTGATTGTTAGGTGAATTATTATGGTAATGTGATTGTGGTTTTGTTTGGAAGGATTGATTTTGCATGAGTTAGCATTATAAAGGGCAGAGGGATATAGATTGGTCTGGAAATTATTAGGGGCCATGGGTGATGGACAAATGGACATAGATTGGGATGGAATGTGTGAGATGCAATGCAGAGTGGTGGGTGGGCATAGGTTGGCATGGAGAGTGTGGGGTCCTGGGGTCAGCAGAGGGGCTAAATTGGCATGGAGGCAAAGAGTGACCATGGCTTGATATAGATGGTGCATGGGGTGTGTGTGTGTATGTGTGTGTGTGTGTGTGTGTGTGTGTGTGTGTGTGGGGAATTAGGAGTATTCGATGGAAGGACGTTTCAGGTTCTTGTTTTTTTTATTTTAAACTTAACACAGTGTCAATAGACCAAGTCAAATCTCCTGTGCAGCCCACCTCCTCAGTTACCAGCCTCCACTTTCATTCTGAAGTAGTTTGGCCTGTATCTCAGGGAATCCCATCACCTGGAGTGAAAGTCCGACTTTCGGGCCATTCTTAACCTCGATCAGGTTTGCAGAGCTGGCAAATGTCTCTACTCTTCCCTGTCAACCCAGGAAGCAAAATTCAGGCCTCCCTATTATCACAATGGAGCTTTCATTAGCCCTGGTAATTGTCAAATAATAGGGTGCCTCCAAATTTTGGTCATGCATGTGGGACCGGAAAAGCCTAGGCATGGAAACAAAGCCAAGTACATTAAAAACAAAAAGCTTTCCTGTTAATCCGTCAGGTTATTACAATATCAAATAACTGACATTCAAACAATGAAAGTTCTACTCTATTTTGTAAACATCTATCAGACTCTTAAAATAACAGTGTATGATATAGGCCTTGTACTCTTACCCATTTGTGCCTGCATTTCTTACGACTTTTAATATACGGCGTATGTGAGATTTGATGCTCTAGGTTTCTCAGGGGCTTCATCTGTAAAGCAAAAAAGGTCAAATGTTTCAGCAATGCGGTATATTTATGTTTTTCTAATACAAGCAAGGACACAAACAAAAGAGCTCTCTGTCACTATAAGGAAAAACTATATTCCACCATTGAAAGTATTGTCTTCATGGTTCTGTCAAATATTTCAATTTTATTCCACCTCTCAGAAACAGAAGGGCTATGCTGTCCTCTATCACCAGGTGGCAGGTTGGTGCCATAAAGTATATCAGACAAAAATCTCCCAACAGGTCGAAAAAGGCCTAAGTTTTCACCTGGTTTAATGGTACTAACATATTTAAAATGAACACGTTACTCAATCATCACTATTACCCATAAGACCTGGTATCAACAGTCTATTCCTGATAAATTGAAGTTGCTTAATCTAAAATTTTGTCATATATATATTTAAATATGTTTTCATTATCCTGTAAACTCAATTTCAGACAGTAGAAATTTTACTCACTGAGGAAAATCATACATGAAAAATGTTTCAATTGTCATTGTCAACATTTTAATTGGTTTATCAAGCAATGTTTGGCCAATTACAACTACCGTGAATTTTCCTATTGTAACATTTTCCATTCTGAGCTATTGACATAAGATTTTGTTGGTAAAACAAAATAAGAACAAGTATAGTTATTCTGTTCAGGGCGGCATGGTGGCGCAGTGTTTAGCACTGCTGCCTCACGGCACCAGGGACCCAGGTTCGATTCCACCCTTGGGTGACTGTCTGTGTGGAGTTTGTACTTTCTCCCTGTGTCTGTGTGGGTTTCCCCTAGGTGCTCCAATTTTTTCCCACAATCCAAAGATATGCAGGTTAGGTGGATTGGTCATGCTAAATTGTATGTGGTGTTCAGGGATGTGTAGATTAGGTGCTTTATAGGGGGATGAGTCTGGGTGGGATGCTCTGATGGTTGGTGTGGACTTGATGGGCCAAAGGGCCTGTTTCCACACTGTAGGGACTCTATGAGTGTGCACCATACAGAAGATAATAATAAACCTGTAACATTAATCACAGTGAGTCAAAGGAAATATTGTAATGTTAAATATATTCCAGATTTCTTAAATACAAATCTTAAATGCTGGTTAATCTGACACATATTTTCCCATTAGTATCATGACTAAATATAGGGTTCATGTAAATTTGGATTAGAGATTAGAGGACATTAGAACATTTAGATAAATTCAGTGCCTATTTTAAAATCATTTTGATATACATTGATTTATTTCACAATTACAAAATCTGAGTGTTTTGAGCTGCAGACAAATAGAAATGCTTGGGCTTTTTCTGCTGCACAAGCTAAGGCGCAAACCTGAGATGCTATCACTGATGCTAGGTTGCAATTACACTTTGACATGTTCAAATAAACACTTACCACTCTGAATGCAGACAGGAGAATTTATAAAGGAAAAAGTGACAAAATTACCATAAAAATGTATGAACATAAAATAAAATTTTGTAGATGGGAAGCATCGATAAAGTTTTTAGACGCTTAGAATAGTTACAGCACAAATGAAGACATTTTGCTCCTTGAGTCCGTAAATTAACTGGTTGACGTTTAATTTAAAAAAAAACACATATGTTATGGATAGCTTGTAAAGGATTTATGAAATGAACCAAGGGAGCCATCAAGAATCATGTAGTGGAGTGCATTAAATTTCAATAGAAAATAAAACCACAATTTAGTCAGCATAGTGGCTAGCAGGAGGTCTAAGAATTTAAGAATTGGCTGTCCAAAACGATCACCAAATTGACTGAGATAGCCAGGAGTGGCTAGAAATCCAAATGGAGGAATCAGAGAAAGTCAGTTACAGTAGAAAATAAAGCAAGGTTGCAAAATTCAATCCATAAATGTTGCTTAGAATCATAGAGAGAGGCATCGCCCATTCTGGCTGGACTGATGCACGTCCCAAAAGCTGAAGGTAGCTGAGCACCAAACCATCAACTAAACAATTCTTAGCCAATGAATCTTAAAATCTTTTGTTGAAATTGTAATATAGCTACATTCTACTTATGTGTCATATTCCAGCTGAATATATTGTGAAATAAAAATGAACTCCAGTTAACTGTAGCCCAAAAATAATGCTTCTTATGGGAAATGAAACAAGGCATAAATATTATCTGGGGAAATCTGGGCAAGCGACATGGGAGTGGGACTAGTTAAATTGCGCTTGCTGAGAGATGGGATGGCTCAATGGAACAAATAGCCTCTTTATGTGCTTTAACCATCCCATAATTCTGTATCTGATCCAGGCATCTTCCTCAAGAGATTTGTTGTTGCATATACTCATAAGGTAATGGCTTCAGCCATTCCCTAGTGTTTAATAGTTAATGCAAAACTTATACTAGATGCTTAGGATTGCACATGGAGATAAACTGATGACAGAAGAGAACGGGAACAAAGTACTGTGGAAGTCAGGTATCAAAAGAACATGAAATCATAAGAATGGCTGAAAGACTGCTGTTACAACCCAGCTTCTTCATTTCTAATAGTAAACAATAAAATTGAAGTATCAATTTTCTTTCTAGCAGAAAGAACTCCTTTGATTGCCTTTATGTCGAAATCTATGTTTGGAGTTCTGAGATGAGTTTTCCCAGTATTATCAGTTGAATATATACTGATTGTTGCAGCAGTGCGAGGAGATTTGCTACACCATCCATATACCCATTTAAAATTTTATTATAAGATTATGAAAGATCTATTAAGACCTTAGGTGGCACAGTGGCTCAGCGGTTAGTGCTGGAACCTTACAGCACCAAGGGCCTGGGTTCAATTCTACCTGTATCTACATGGGTTTCCTCCAGGTGCTCCAGTTTCCTTCCACAGTCCAAAGATGTGCAAGTTAGGCAAATTAGCCATAGGAAATACAGGGTTACAGGAATATGTTGGGTGAGTGTGTCTGTGCAGGATGTCCTTTAGAGGCTTGGTGTGGACTCAATGGGCTGAGTGGCCTGCTTCCACACTGTAGGGATTCTATGATGTTACTTTTTGTTTCTGGCCAGTTTAAATAACGTGCAAATAAAATATTGGTTACTATAGTTAAGAATTAGATGCCACTTGTGTTTCTTATGCTCTGTAATTGTATTCATTGTGAATTAGTTTGACCTTATCTTTAACCTGAACCACTTGATGTAGCAGCATAAAATATTTTTAGTCTTGCAGTAAACTGGATTGCATTGCAGAAGATTCAGTAATCTCTGCTGTAAAATACTAAGGTTATCGAGCAACTGAATTGCATATGAAAATTAGGATAAAGGATTATTAGGGTTCGAACATGAACGTCTTCAAACTATGTGTTAAATCAATGCAGAGATTTAACACAATTTGTTGATTTTCTTGCAGGCTGAAGGGATTAATAGTAGCAAAAATGAAATCATGCTTTTTACTTTCCCTAACAGTTTCTTTTTGCCAATTTTCTCCCCATGCCTTGGCTCTTTTTTCGGATATGATTCAAAGTTCTCTATTTTCCCTTAATACATCACCAAATTAGCCATTATTTCATCACTTTTAGCAGAATATTCAATTTTTATGAGTTATTCATAATTGCCATCTCTTTAAGTAAATGGTTAAAAGAACATGGAATCCAATCTGGGTATTTGCAACCAATTGCCCATTTCACTCCAAGAGGAAAGAGTAACTGGTAAGACATGTGATAAATAATGAACAAAGTATTGCTGACCATCTTGCTGTAGTACGGTAGTGACCTTGTATTTGTAAACATTAGGGGCTATCACTATTTTGGAGAAATAGCCAATGAGAGCTTAACCGTGTTTCGTCATATGCACGTGATGCAAATTTTGCAACTTTGTGAAATTGGTTAAATATTTCAATAGAAAATAGAGAGAAAATACTTTGCTGGCAATCTTGAAATAGCAACTTTAGAACTAAAATAAACTATGTAGGGACATGCAGCCTTCTTGTTTGCAGTACTCCAGAACGTGCAGTGCCAATGCTATTTGCCATTTGATACATAATAGGTCCTAAATATTTTTTGACTGTAGGTCAAATTTTCTACTTGTTTTTAAGTAGAAACACCGAGCCAACTCGATATTTTATTTAACTCCCTTTCAGCAACAGGAATCCTCTGCTTTAATCTACACAGCAAATGTAGAAACATAAATAAGGTTTAACAAAAAAAAATGCTTCAGGACGATAATGTTCCCAACACGTTTGTTGACTAACTTCTTCCCCTTGCTGAATCTGTCTGTCTGTCTCTCTCCTCTCAAGTCTCTGACCACCAACTCCAAAAGCTTTCAGCTCTCTTCCAGATATTAGTCCCATTCTCCCACTCACTTTCTGTTCTACAAATCCATCTTCTTATGTAGTCTTAGACCTTCACTTCTCTAAGCAAACCCGTGGAATACATGTTGTCTTTAAAACTAAAGGTGAACTCAAAGTTCTAAGAAATAAGAAAATCTGCCTACCTTGTGACATGCACTTTCAAAGCAAAACTCTGGGGTGGAAATGAAGTCTGTGATTCTTCGTTGCAAATATGAGAACTCCTATAAATTCTGAACCTCTCCATGAGAATGTAGAAATGGAAATAGTAGAGACATACAAACAGCAAAACTTGTACTGCTTGTGGAGGACAGAGATTTAGAAATCTAACGGCTCTGGAACAGTGCCTCAGGATGAGTCAGTGCCTTCAAGACACCAAATTAGCAAATAGAGCTCCAAACTGTTACATAAAGAATAAGAAATGCCTGAGTCTGAATTACATGCTGAATGGATTCTAACAATAAAGTGAAATATCTACACATAAGATAGGACATTCAAAATAGAAACTTTTTATATACAGTACGCAGATTCTTAATTGGCCAGAGAAAGCAGATGTAAAACCATCCTTTAAAAAATCCAAAGGATGTGGATTCATTTCCAAGGAAACTTGTAGGAAAAATATCAGCAAACACTCCTTTATACCGAAGACTAATAACTGAAATGTATTCCCTAAGATCACTTGAGACGAGGGTAAAGGATGTAAAGGGTAAA